GTGACGTCGCCGTGGGCGTGTGAACGTCTTTCCAAGATTATCCTTTTTTGGCCAATGTATAGGTTGACTTGAAGCTACGTTGAAAAAGAACTAGCATCTAATGAGAAAATACTACTATCAAACGATTCACAGTGTTATGTTAGAGCGTGCTTTCAGCTTCTTTTTCTCATTTTTAACTTTACAAACGTAGCCCGTTTTGTAAGAATTCTAGTAGCAAAGAAATTCATTATGTATTTGCTGTCACTCCCGACAACCCTCCTATATTTATTAACCGACATATTTCTTCCTTTTTTGCCAGAAATTTTCAGGTCTAGTGTAAAAGGACTGGCCCAGCACTTTCCAATGTAAAATGTACGGCTACTAATTTAATTTTCCAGTTATTGAGAAAACGAGAGTCCGTCGGAGCAAGCTATGGAGGATCTGACGGCACTCAGGCTCCTGCACGGTGGACTTTACCGTCTTTGCCGTGAGCGACTTCACGTAGTCGTGGAAAAGTATGATTTTTATGTTGATCCAAAATTATTGACGCCCAAACCTCTTTTGATCTTTTCCGTTTGAGAGCCCGTTCGTTCGATGCAGCTCGCTCATATACAGATCCCCGTTAACTGTCAAACACCTTCCAGTGTGTAAGACTCTTCCGGTGTTACCAAACGCAGACGATCGTCTTCTTGGAATTGAAATTTGCTTTATCGTTGGTTTTGACTGCTGGCTTTATCGTTGATTAGGGACTGCGCTTTTAAAGACAGTATTTTGCGGCACGGTGACAATATCGTGTAAGAATTTGTTATTATGACTGCGTGTTGCTCGCTGTTGGACGAAACGCTGAGGGACAATGAGTAGCCATATTTCGTCGTGATGCTCACGCAGGTCATGGAGCACTCAGGCTTCTATTTTTCGATCATATTCTATAGATATAACGTGTCTGTCTTATGAGAGTGTTGATTTTTTCACCATTTTACTAATTGGTCGCCAGTTTCTTTCTTCGAAATCTCCTTTAATTGGTCCTCGTTACGTTCAGATAGCCGGCTTAGAACGGGTGCATCCTACAGGCTCAGGATGGCATCCTTGAACTCCGCAGAGCAGTTTTCATAAAGTTCTTCTCGTTATATACGACATAAATATTTCAGGCTACTTCGGTGACTGTGTCACGTTATTTCTTTAGCATGTTTTTTTTTTTTATATGATTTGAGCAAGTTCTTTGAATCGCCTGCGTTTGGGCTTAGCATGGAAGGCCTGCCCCCATCAAACGTCTAACGAGAGCCTATTATTATGTAAAGATCTAATTTCCTAACGGTGGTTTCAAAGCTCTATATAATAACTCTTATAACACTTTTAACATTCGGTTAGGATTTTATACTTTTTTTTTTTTTTTTTTTAAATATATGTTATGACGCTCCAATCGTACTGCTCGAAATGTCAAAATTTTTTGTCAAGTGAACATGAGCAATGAAATCAGTATTACTTGTTTCGTACTCGTTAGACGTGTTTGGCTTTGAGCTCTATGCAGCAATTCTTGGTCTCGCTTTAGCCCTAACTTCCAGACAGGGCTGCCATATGTAATAATAGGCAGAAGAAACGTATAAAAACGTTGTATGCATTATTTAGTCTATTTGATTTAGTCCCAAAATTTCCCGAAATCAATATGATGTAGGGTTTTATCCAAATTTAGGGACAGTAACCATCTTCTGCAACGTTATTCCCTAAACTTCTAGTGGCGTTTTTATATGCTGCACGTTTTTATATAAAAGCCGGCCTTGAAACCTCTCAGCTTTGTGACAAGGGATAGAAATTATCTTAGACGTCCTTGAGCACTGCTAATGTATTTGTCATTCTGGACCTCTGCACTGATTTTGATGTCAGCTGCATAAGTTTTGAAATATTATCTGCAGATAGGATTCGTATGAAGAAAATATACCAAAAACTGAAGCATTTTTTAGACTTATCCAGACATGGCTTCCCCTTCAACTTAGTACGAGTCTTACCGAAATCTCAATATCTACTTAATTAGTTTCGGTAGCCCGGTAATAGCTCATTCAAATTCAGGATTTTCCAAGTATTATTCTCTGACGTTTTACAGCTTTACTTAGTTTCTTTTGGAGATACTGACGTCTCGTACGTCAGTCTCATGGCTGATTAACGCAGACGATTTCAAAATATGATTAATATTTTAGTTGCTTCAGAAGTATACGCAACACCGGAGAGGGGACGGGGGAGAGGAGGAGATATTTATAGTACAAAGTCTTCTGCACATATCATCTGAACTGGGGCAGTATTGAAAGGAAGCAAGCCAGCTTGTAAATTCTAGATTCAGAAACCGCCCCATCTTACCTTGTCATAAAATAAAAATAACAGCCAGAAAGCTTTTTACTCTTGGAAACTCCGGACAAAGACCTGCTCGTGTTAGCAGAGGGTTCGCTATATATATCGCATTTTATCACACTTCCAGCAAGATTTTCTGGATAAGATGTAGACGGACGCTGGACCATTTTTCGCCTCAAAAATGTTATTTTTTCTCGTTAAGTTAACTCCAGTTACTCTGAAGATATTGATGGAGACGAAATAGTCAATAATATTTGCAGTCAGTTTCCGATAGGGTCGTGATTTCTTTTTTCTGCCAGGTGAGTCTCGTGATTACCTTACTGTAGCCTTGCAAACCGTGTAATGACAGCATCAACCCCACTGTTGCGTCTCAAATAGAAGATCGTTCTTTCTTCCATTATACTAATATCAATGAATCAAATCGGGTAATTCTGTCTCTACCGGGAACTCGGTCGGCCCTTGACGGGACAGAATCTTGGTTGACTGGATTGCGCAACATACGATTCCATTAATGTCGAGTTATACCATACTTCATCTTTTTGCGTTATGAGAGCATAGGCACCAGTAGACGGCTACTTAGGTCAAATATTGAAAGCGTTGACGAACTTTGCTATCCTTTTTTACAGCCGCAACGCTGAGCTAATGGCGGATGTATTGTCTTCGCGCTATCTTCTCACATGACCCCTTACTCCTGTGAAATTCTTCTGCATTGTATCTAAAAACTCTTCTGGATGTTTCCTAACTGTATCTTTAATGTCTAACTAACCTCCGGAGAATGATGTTTACAAGATCGCTTTTATCCTTTCAGTCTGATTCGATATGACGAAATCTACAATTGTTCGATAGTGAAAGTCGTCTCTGGGCTTGTGGAAAGTATGAGCTAGATCTACGCTTCTTAGCCAAGCTTTACACAGAGTTATGGTATAAAACGCATGTCGCAGGACTGTCTTGGGCCGTAGTAAAGCGTTGATTAAAGCAAATACGACTCTGCATGGCAGGAGATACGAGACGTTTTAAACCCACTGCCTTTGACGTGAGATGAAGAGCGTTGAACGACGAAGTTTCTGACAGAAAAGTTATGATCTAACCAATACCCACGTTACAGTTAGCGTACAAACCACGATTTTAGAATTCTCAATAACATAAGGCTGATACATACACATAAATCCACTGACATATTTAGACACAACTTTAAACATTCAAAATATATAATTCTAAAGTGCATACCGGTCGAGTAGTTCAAAGCATTTTAAAATACTGGCCGTACAATGTAATTTACTCAAATATCCTAGTAACCACATTCTATTTTTGAGAGCGACTAGTTCTGTGCACGCTGTAGCGCTTTAGACCTGGGTTCGATAGTAGTACAGAAAATACCATAAAAAAGCGAGTCCAGTGTAAACTGATTACCCCACGAAGGATCTATGTATGTGTGGGGTGTAGGTGTGTGTATTTGCCTTTTGAAGTAGTAGCCGCAACAATAGCCCCAGGTATAAACGAGCTTTTTCTTCTTCTTTTTCTTCTAGCACGTTTCAGGGCAGTGATGTCGTCAGCCGTGTGCTGCTTCGACCGTTTACAAGAGATGGTCGTCCTTTGAACGGGACTCACTGGCTCGTCTAAGATTCGGGTTGGATCCCGTACACTCAACCTTGGATTCTAAACGTGTGCTGTGGATTAATTGGGCCGTCCCGCTTGATTGGCGCGGCCATATGGGAGCCCCAAGAGTTGCTCGGGCTAGTAGGAGTGGGTGTACATCTTTGATCTGAGCCAGCCGACAGCTATTAGGAGCGGTGACAAATTGAAACGCAATTACACAGCCGGGATGGTGCCGTTTGGCTACGTTTGTCGCTGATTTGGGTGTTCTGATCACCCTGATATCGCCCGGCACAAACACTTAGAAAGCGCGTATTTTTTGCGAACTGCTACGAACATCATACGGCTAGTTTTTGCTTTCGTTAAACGAGTAACTGTCTTTGGCGGGTCGCAGCATGGCAGCAATTCTGATTTCCTTCGAAATTATTCCCCTTTCAATTTCTATTGTCACTACAGCCTCTGCCGTCATGTCTACAGCTGTTTGGTGATAGGAACACTATGGAATATAATAAGCGAGAAACGGCCTGAACGAATCAAAAGGCAACTACTAGATAATCTTGCTTGCGCCCATTCGAGAGGCTCAAGTGAAATTCGGCAGGACTGCACGGTGCTCAACAGCGATCGAGTTGGTCTTCGTTAGGTTCGAACACTCGCAAACCCAGCACCGGTCATCTGAAGGCCCTGTGCTCTAACAAGCACAAGGCCTGAGTTGAGCTTCCAAAGGAGAGAGTTGAGAAAATGTGCTTTTTAGCCATAACAGTGAGATCAATTGGCGATGTCGTATAGTATTCAATACTCGAAAATTGTGTTTACCTAAAAAAATTATTAGTTTATTAGAAAGGTTCGCAGATGTAACAAGATCTTTGTTTCGCTTGTTTCTATACACACGAGGTTTACTTAGCAAGAAAAACAATAATTAATTGGCCACGCTTTATGATTACCTGAATTCCGCTTTTTATCCAAATATTTCGACAAGTACGTTTTCATATCTGTAATATAAGATGCATGCAGACTCAAGTTGAGTAACGAATGCCTCCCTCATTCAATTAAGATCAAAGGACAAAACATCAATAAATAGAGCAAGTTCGTCTTTTACAAAAAATCAGCTTTATTATACGAGCGTTGCAGGTGCCATGTTTTCAGTCTGTTTCTGCAGATAGAACTTAATTTCTTCAAATCAACTTTTTACCAATCCACTCAGTATCGTAGTATATATGTTTTGCACTACAGGTTACCGCTTGTCCCGTCGCTGTGATTCATTTTCTTTCCGCTAATATTACTATCGTTATAGTGAGCTTCCCATTTTCGCTTCCGATGGTTGACGACGAGATCTGCGGTATGAATTTTGTTCCTTCGGGTTTTGTCATGCCACCTCTTCAAATCAAATATCACCTTTTGGCCTTCAAGGAACATAGCCCTCTCGTCGTTGTCGAAAGTTGCCGTCACCTTCATTAATTCCCCGCCCCCCATAAATATTACGTTCAGTTAACGTGTATTTATTTATACCAATTGCACCGGTAATTCTGCTCTACTAACTAAGACTTGAAAAATCAGCCTGTGCTGTCTGCAGACATTTGTTTACGTTTCGATAATGTGGCGTTAGTTTGAGTAGCGCGTGACGTTTAACGTCTTTTATAGGACGCATTAAGCTCAAATCAAATTCTAGGGCCCATTTGTCGACGGCTTAATATTAAGTAGCTAAGCTGTCAATACCGGCTTATTGATCAATTGCAAGTATAACTTGCAGTTAAATTTTAAATGCACTTTAAACTTATTGTGCCATGGTGCGATTAGCGAGCCTCTAGCGGATGTAATTGGCACAACGGACTCGAAACAGGTTAAACAGTACTTCGTTATAGACCGAAGTAGGATTGACTCAAACTGAAGAGGGCGGTTTTTTTGAACCGATTTGACAATGACTTAGTAATATTGCTAAGCAAACATTTTTTCACAGACATTGATACTAGCAGGCTGCAGATGGCATAGAAACGTCACGTTGTTCTCCTAGAGAAACCTAAGCGACTGTTCTGCTTCTACGGTAACGTATCTAAAATTGCACATTAAGCTGCTCCGTTTACTCAGAAAATTCTCATGTGAATGTAAGGCAATGCCCTTGAAAAGCTAGGAACAAATCTTGACCAAAAAAACATAAATTCTTCATGTTAGCACCAATAAAATGTTGCTGTTGTTAAGTGCAATTTAGCAAAATTATTTTGTTAGCTTATCTTATTCGTGTTCTACAAACCTGATCCGTTTCTTCAATTTGAGCGTTCTGCGCTCCATCGGTTATCTTCCGGAAACGACCCTTGAAGGTGGTGACAAGGAGTTCCGAAATCCGATGAGCTTCAATTGGAAGTAAGGCCATTAACTGCCGCCCCACCTGCTCGAAAACACGCATTAAAACAATAGAACAGGTCCAAGGTTATGAGCTCAGACAAACATCTAATACATCGAGATTTAAATTCAGCTTTATTTTTGCTGCATTCTCCCAGAATTCATGACCCCAGATCTGTCTATAATTCCACTGTTATAAAATATAATAGCGTTTATAAAGCCTTCTTGCCGTTCCTGCTTACTCTAAGCAGTATGAAAATATAATTATATTTTTTTCGTTGTATTGGAGCCTGACGTTTTGCTCCCGGCTTTCTGTTCGAAGCCCAGGTGCCACCACACTGCATATGGGCCACGCCGATCCGAAATCGGAGGAAAGAGATTATGTAAACAAGCTCATCGTTTTCTTTTGAGAACGTTTGAAAATGCCCTTGCTCTCTGTATCATTGTGTGTATTGCCCTCCCCAGTATTTTAAGATTTTAAAAAGTTCGTAACACTTTTCAGATAACGACTTTCATCTACCCTCAGGCGACTGTAGTACGAATATCCAATCACCAGATCGTCGAAATGTAAAAAAACGTAAAATGGCCCTACCAAAAAACAAATTCAACATTATGCTTACTTAGCACAGTATTATTAATAGATTGATGAATTATGAGCGAAACATTACGTTTGTTTGTTTCTTGTTATTAAATGATTCTCTTGTTAGAATGCCGAAAGATGGGATACTGTATCAAAAAATAATGTGATTTTTAAAACTCTTGCCATTTTTTTGTCTGAGTTGATGCTGTTAAAAACAGTCTTCATGCGGATTGAGTCTCGCGAGTATATTTTAGTGTTATATTATGGTAAAGTAGCCATTAATTCAAATTAAACAAGTTAGTTAATTTAACCTTCTAGAAGTGTTTACATCACTAAATCCAATTTTCTTTGTTTCCACTTTGTCATAACTTCCGCCTCGCCTACTATAAACGTTCGTTATTGATATTTTTTCGATTCTGATTATCGTTTCGTTAGAAGTTCTACCCAGATACTCTGTACTTGAGGTGTCGTTGGGCCACGATGGGCGAAATACAGCAACCAAGTAGACTAGTCAAATGTTTATGAATGGTTTCATGGATTTAAAAAAAAAACCTGCTTTCCTAGATTGTCAATAGCTTTTCAGCAAGTAACTTCTCGGAAGCAGTATGGTGTGCGAAGACGTAAGTATTTTATAGTGCATAAACGGCACTTCAGATACGAGCAGAGATTAAAACACCTTTAATTATGCTCGCCGACCTGCAGGCCTCTGATCTAATGAATTCGAAAGGGAATTGAGAATAAATTGGTCCGGAGTTAGATCATCTGGCGTCGACTTTCCACAGTATAACGTATACAGATGCATGTACCTATATTTAGTATGGAATATAATATACCTTGTAGTAGTTAGGTTGAAGTCTTTTCAGGTCAACGCAGGAACTGTCCGCTCTCATAATATTCACATAAAAATGACTAAACGCTTTGGGTAACTGGATGTCGACGGAGTACATGTTGTAGAGATTCTTAGCAAGCCAAAGAGGCAACTCGAGTTGCGTGCCTTTTCTGAGATCTGCCTGGTCGCTCGTAGGATCCAAAAAGCCTAACCTGAATGTGTAGGAAAACTCTTTAAGATGCAAGCATGTTTCTCTAATTAGGACTCTACTGTAGTTGGTAGAAGACCTTTTTCTAGAGTGTGTCATACCGCCATTTAAGTCAGTTTCGTTAATTACCCTATGTAGATTACTGCGCGTTTGCAATAGTGTCGGCTATGCGAATCTTGACAGCGTATCAAAAAAAAAAGCATTAATGTTAGCCTAATGCCAGTAAGATACAAGTCTACCTTGGGTCGGGAAGGTTATACACATATTCCCAGGCTTCTGGTTCCTCACAAGACGTCGCAAAAGTACTACAGAGGATTTTATATATAAATATATATATATATATACATATATATCTAAAGACGTATTAAAAAGTCCGTAAAAACAGAATGAAGTTCGAATGTGTAGCTTTATACATATTTATTTATGATGCACTTCAAAAGAAAATCGCTCATACGCATGACGTAAGCTACAAGCGTCGATCCAATTGAGTTCGTCCTTTAAAGTCGTAAGAATAGAAGCAACGAAAAGTACACGAAACGTGGCCGTGAAATCACGAAGAATATTCTTTAGATTATATTAAAAGATGTCGTAGGAAAAAAATCTTGTGGTCGCGATGCAAAACCATGCCGTCATCGAAAAAACATTTTTTGCGTAAAAAGCATAAAAATATGATATGAATAGTGAACATTAATCATTCCATTGTTATAAAATGTAGAAATTTAAACAATGCTGATATTAAATACACGATAAAATGCAGTGTAGTATATCTGGGGGAATTTCGAAATTCTTCCAAGGTGCTACGCAAATATGCGCGATATTTTGTACATCTATAATTATAAGCCAAACGAATCCATATGTATAGACAGGATTGCTCCATAAGTCACCCTACTGTTTGTCTACATCTGATTATGTAGATCTCGAACGGGTCGCATTGTAATGGTTTACAGTTTCAAATAATCCCGTACGGTTTTTAGATGCCCAGTGTCTCTGTCAGTCTTTGAACTTATCTGTGCTACAGCGTCAGTATGGTTTGAATTTAGAACCAGATGCTGTCATTCAGTAAGAAGCGAAACTTGTCCTAGTTTGTGTACCACATACATTTACCGACGCCATTTATAGCTAGTACGCTTCTACCGCCAACGTTTTCGGAAAACAATTGTACCCTGGTCACAAATTAATCCGATTAGATTTATTGAAGAACACTTTTATTTAGCACTGACCTGCATATATCCTTGGAAACTACGACCGGAGTTCGTTCGCTCAACATTAAAATTTCGTTAATGTCAAAGTAGTCTTCAAATTCACAAGTTACTCTGGCGTTCCGCTGGAGCCGACTATCATCAAGGCTGTCATTTTGACTAATAAATTGATTAAATGATCGATACATCAGAAGTTACTGTCGTCCGAATCAATGGAACGGAACCCTTAATACATGCGAGCTAGTGCTTCCACAAAAAACAAACCGTGATAACAGAAAAAAAATGACCTTTGTTTTAATCGCAAAATGCATAAAATGTGCTAATTATTTTCTTCTCTTTTTTGTAAAATTCATAAAGGTAAACTGAAAACTCGCAAAGAAGATTGGCGCCTACAATTCTCGTTAACGCAGTTGTGGTGACTAGATGCCCTTGCCGTACGTGCAGAATATCGGTAGTTGCCCAATCAAATTTCGTACTGGAAATCCGCCTACCTTCCGCAGCACCTCAAAAGCTTCACGTACAAAAGCGAAATAGAACAACAATATACGAATTTAGCTCAAAAGTGTATTCAACTATTCTTTGAAGTACTTTTTCCGACTCTTAGATGCCAGTCTGAGACAATTGTCGATCAAAGTGCACGCGGCTCATCTAGTCTACGGAGTTTTAAAGAAAGTTTTATATTGGTTAACTCCTGTTAAAAAAAGTTTGAAGACGGAAAGAAAAGTCGTGTATGCTGAAATTGAACTAAAGTCATTGTGACAATGGATAAGTTGAAGCGTGCTTTGGGCTCTCAGCCCGTAGAACAGACACAAAGTGAAGAAAACCTATTCACGGAGGTAAAGTATTAGAAAAAGGGAGGTTTATTGATCTCAGATTCACCAACCGACTTTAGACAATATCGTTTTAGATATGCGGAAGTAAATGGCGAAAAAGTTCTGTGTTCAATTACTCAAGTTCTTACTTTTTAATAATATAGTTTGCTACGGGAATGTTTATCTTGATTATTGCATACTCCATTTATTACAGTGAAACTGTTAGTGCTAGATTTTGCGTTCCAAAATTATCGCCTTATCGTGCATTACGATTAATTAAAAAACTAGGATTACTCCTTTAATGGAAAATCGCAAGTGATTTTTAATATTATTATGATTATTATTGGCCGACGATCGTCGCTGTTGGTTCACTGCGGTGACGTTTACCGTATGATGTCACACCGTATGAAGCTGGTAATTACACTTTTCACTGGTCATCTTTGGATTGCTTGTCCTAATCTTTGGTCCAATTCCAGATGACGTCGTTATCGTGGAGCACCCGGATCAAAGGATTTGGAATTACATTCATTCTTGGCTTTGTGTTCTCTCTACTGGTAGGTACTGACGAGGTTGTTACAGCTTTCAGCGCCATTGCCCGATGTATATAAGTTGCATCCGCGTTAATTTCTACGTACGGATTCAGTTATTACGATGAGGGAATATATTCAAATTGAATGTCATTTTCAACTATAACACTTCACTTTACTCAAGTACTAAACAGTCATCTGCAGGAATATAGATGACTGTCCATGCTACAGTCTATCGATGACAGTGGTCTGCACGGTGGCTTATACTTTGTTTTGATTTCTTATGCGGTGGTCTAGCCAGATGCCAGTTTCTTACGTTGATTGTCGACAAAAATTGTCTCCGAAAATACTATGGATAGACGCAGTACAACTTAACGTCGCAAAGCTGTAAATTGATTTTTTTTTAAAACTTTTTTTTTTGTCAATGCTTCTTCATTAGGACACATGGCGACAAGTAACACGAAACACGTCTACGACTGACAAAGTTAGGCTGTATAAACCGGTCTCAGTGTTAATGCTATGAGAGCTCAAAGCGAACGGAAAATTTCAACTTCGTTCCAATTCTCGCCGACAGTCCGGAAGTTTTAACTATAACGGACTAAAGTTTTGAGGGTACCACGTTGCCCTATTGAGGGTCGTATTACGGTTTTCTTTTTAAGGATATACTGTTGATTTCGCTAAGTTAGGCCCAGTTCCTACAATGAGTCCTTTCTAAATAACGGTGCCTCTGCGTTTCGGGTTTTACCTACGGTATCATCGCCAGATATTGCATCACACGGCTCGCTCCCAGCGCGAAATTTCGAAATATTAATTCGCGGATTCGAACCTAGAGCACAACGCGTCCCTCAAATTAGCAGGCAAATACGTTACCCACCAAGCTTGGCGACAGTCACTGTCCTGACAGAAGCCTTCCCAGATATGAAAAAACAGAGATATCCTTTTAAAACAACAGCGTATTAGCCAATGCTTTTCTATTAAAGGAGACTTTTCATTTATGCAAACTAGGTAGTAAATAAGTTAAGTATCGGCCTCACACGTGCAATGATCATCGCGAATATTCTTAAAACTATAGACGGTGAGCTTTTATGTCGTATGTATTTCCAAGCCAACATTGTTACATAAATATTTACTTCTAGGACTTCTATTCCATAAATGAAATAGTCATGAATCCATTGTGAACATGTCGCAGTGGCAGTGCCAGTCAAGTAGTATCCTTACTTACTTATCTTCTCTCGGTGCATAATAGGGCGTAGGATTTTTGGCGATCCCAATCCATGGCATCAAACTGTTCTGCGTATTTTACTCGCTTGGCAACCTAATGGCAATCTTCTCAACGCTCTTCCTTATGGGACCTGCAAATCAGTTGAAGAAAATGTTTTCGGCAACACGATGGATCGCGTCAGTTATGATGATAACCTTCCTGTTGCTCACGCTTGTGTCAGGCCTCGTCTGGCACAAAAAATCTCGCACCGTAATCTTCTGCCTGTGCCAATTCGTAGCCATGACGTGGTACGCTCTCAGCTACATTCCATATGCAAGAGAAGCTGTGAAGAAAACCTTCGCCTCTTGCATCGATGTGTAAATAATTTATAATTTGTTTACCTAAATATAATAAAGGTTTACAGGAAATGTATAACGTGCTTTTACGTATGACGATTTTATTAATATTTAGCAATTCACACGTTGAGCAGCAATAGTGTTACAAATCGATATATGGATTTTCGATGTTTTTTTTTGACGAAACTAATAAATTCTGCTTCTCGAGTTCGCTATGCAGTCGGCGAGGCAAACAGCAATTGTAAAAACAAACGTCTTTATTAAGACGGATTATATGGTATGAATGCCCTTCTTGTTGCCAACATGTACTAACAAACTTATAGTGTGTCAACGTTTTCCGTAATTTTACTACCTTTATTTAGTATCTCATCATCACCGCTTCATATCCGTGATAGCATTAAAGACTTTGCGCATTCAATTCTTCATTTTATATGATTTGGAATCTCTCTCTCTATCTCATTATAAGAACAAGTTTACATGAAAAATAATTTTAAATGTTTGCCACGAATCCTCTATGAGTAACCATAAATCTAAGAAAATTATCACACACTAACATGACGTCATCTTGAGGAAAGCGGCGAAACTCACGACCAACTTATATGACCATAATGTAAATAACTTTAGTGTGGGAATCAAGCTGTACACATACTGTTTTTATTATTATCGTTAGCTATTATTATATTATTACCTCCTTATTATAATGAACAGTTACTATGACGATAACTAGCTACGAGAGGACTAAGTGCTGATTATTATAACTTATTCTAAAAATAGTACCCGTTTATCCATGTTACTGTGGAAAAAAATAACGAAATCTACAAGAGGTCGATTCCTAATAAATAATAACTATGACAAGTGTACATGTATAGAGTTTTATTAATAATAATTATAATATTAATGTAACAAACGGTCATTGCTCATTGGCTGCATTAGCTCATCTATATACAGGCAACATAAGATTAATCTAGAGCCTTCCCTGATGGTTTCCTGCATCGGGCAGGCCATAACTGTACCAGCTATTATTATGCGACACCAAGCGACAACCATGTTCGATAATTTCCATTTTTTTTATTTAACTTTTTTTCGAACATCTTCATCTTTTACCCTCCAAACTACCCTGTGACATACAGTGTTGTTCGCATGACCCCACAGATTCGTCCCCTTGATCTTCATCGTTATCAATTCATTATGGTCAAGCGTGTTTACCTTCGAGCACCAATGCTAGATACACGCCACACATCGGATTCCTTACTGACAAACCTTGCAAACCGTTTCTCCAAGAGAGACGACCTCATCGTTATTTGTTACTTTTACTAACTGGCAATCAGACAGAAGAATAACACGTTTTCAATATGTTGTTGTTGTTCTAATCCGTTGTTATCTTTATTTCTCAGCCGGCCTTTGCATATGCCCTGCTATCATTCGTGCCCCTGCTTAGCTATCGCTCTACCATTGAAAAAAGAAATACTGACTATGCTGGTGAATTTACCGACTTTTCCTAAATGGCAAATGGTCCATGTGTCATTTTTTGACCCGAATCCATCAAGCATATTCATTCGTCTATTCCCTTCATGCACCTGTTGTCATGTTTTTTTCGTGTAAATCATATCTTTGTGTCTCTACCGCTCTTTCGCCCTTCCTATTTCCTACTCAGTCTTTATTAGTAATGAGAAAACAGTACGAGCAGCGGGGCGATAGTTGGCGTAGTCGTGGTGGTAAGTAACGTTGATCATACGTTTTCTATTGTGTCGTCAATGGTCAGAGTCAACTGAAGAACCTTGACATTACGCGCGTTCTCTTCCTTGGCAATAGCTACACTTCATGATGATCTTCATAAATTGTGTGTAGTTAATAGTTGTATTAGTCAGCTGCTTCGTCCGTTGCTTCCCCTGTGCCAGCACTACTAAGTTTGCTGCAAATAGTGGTTAGCAATTGTGCCCCATGCAGGCTTCTGTCCTTTGGGAACTTCTTCGTTGGAGCCTATTGGTTCGACAGATAGCTTATGGTTTTTTCCTTTACTAGCCAGCAGCTAGAACTCTGGAAGGTGGCCGCCACGGAGTCGGTCGCAGCGAAAGATAATAATAACATTAACTCTATTGCCACGAGACTCTCGTCTCGTCTCATTCACGAATCTATCAGTTCTAGTTCCGCCCAGCTCTTTCTAGATATATATATATATATATATATATATATACCTAACCTACCATTCAACCTGGTGATATCCGAGCAGTCGCCACTCACTATAGCAACGCTAATAATAATCGTTAGTTTTTATATTGTTATTGGTGTTATGATTATTTATATTATTATTATTATTACTGGCTCATGAGTGTCAAATATGTGTAATCGTCTAAGGGGAGATCGAGAGCATTAAGTATATAATCGCTGCGGCTACTGCTGTAAACGGTACTTAATGGTACTTTTCCTTATAACGGTTTTTGCCTGTTTCTGTCTGGCTCGCTGAATTGACCTACTTTGTCTTTATACCTTGTCTTTTCTCGAATATCAACGACGTTGCTCGACGACATCGTCTCTGTAGCCGATTCTGCTAGAAATATCATAGTTTCTCCTTACAACTGCTCTTTCTATGATAATTTAACTATGCCGCCTTGAAATAGTAGTCGTCATCCTCCATTGCAACTGAGAAGAAGTGATTTATTCCAGCAGCCTTTGCTTACGCTTTGCCTAAATCGCACGGTCCCAGCGAACGATTCTAGTAGGCTCACTGGTCGTTGAGGCTGTATACTGGACTGCTTATAGACTTCAGCGGCTTTCAAAGCACCCCATTTAAGCTGCTTTAGCTATTTCATTTTTGTATGTCGCTTTCCTATGCCTGAAACTCCACTGAGAGGTTGCAAGCAGACCAAGTAAACCATACACGTTTAAATAGCAAACGTGGAATCGCTTTGCTTCACATAGCTACCAACTAATGGGTAATAACCGGGCCGTTGAAGATTGCCGAATAGGCCGGTATTTCAGTTGGAATATTCCGAAGAAATTCGTCATTTTTGTCAGGATGTCTGAGTTAGTTCAAGGGATATCCAATTTCCGTGCAATGGAACAGCAATTTGCTGTAAGGTCTTCAACGGACCACGTGACTCATCCATCCGACGTGGCGTGTACATAAATATTTATTATTTATATGTATATAAATTACGATAAGCTATTATTATCTTTTGGCCGGCTACCTCAACTGCCCGCACTTATGCCCCTGGTGTCCTTTTTATGTATTGTTGACATTTTATTCCAGTGCCTTGGTTATAAATTCAAGGAAACGCTTGGCGTATTGTTCGGGGTGAATAGTGGAGATCTCGGCGCCAGCGCCATGTTTGAGCGTTTTGGCGGCCTGGGCTGTGCGTTTCTTGACGCCGTAGTTAGTGAGAACGTCAACAAGTGCCATGAAGTACACTTCTTTCTTGGGGGCACTTTCACTCGAAGGGATCGCATATATATCACGTTTGGGATCTAGGGCTCCGCCTTCCTCCTCTGGGTCAAAATCCGCGTCACCGTAGCCCAATCCATCACCGGGCTCACCCGCGCGAATCCTGCCTGGGGAGTCGGGAGGAGTCGGCATTTGTAATCCATCGGGTCCACCTATTCCAGGCGAGGCTGGAGATTCATCTTCATTCTCATCCTCCGTAGTACCTCGATCTTCCGAATCGCCCGTGCCGCCGCCACCGCCGTTCTCTAGCCTCTCGCGTTCCTCTTTCTCGGCCCGCTCGCAGTCATGGATGCCCAGACACAACGAGTAGTCCATTACGTTCATTTTTGCCAGGAACTGTGGATAAAATAATTAGTGAAAAACATATGGTTACTACTAATGCATTAGGCTTTATTGAGCATTTTATCTAGTCGTCTGGTTTGCTTTTTGCATAACTAAGAGCCAGCCTCTCCGCTAACACAAATCGGCTACATACGACCCTAGCACTAGATAATATATGAAAGGCCGCAACAAATTAGATCCCAGATTATGATCTGGCTAATGAAAGTACCACCGCCAACGGCTTGACCATATGCATAGTATTGCTCGCCAACTCACTTTCTCATAGGTTCTAAAGGAAGTACTTGCGCGCCGGGTTATAGCGAAGGCCTCGTTTTACTGAATTACAACTGTTCAGATCCATGCAGTGCGGTCTAGAGGTCCCAAAACCACAGCCAGTAGTTTGAAAATGGGTGTGTTAATAGACTGCCTCTATGGTTGCTTCCTCATTAGTCAGGGTATTTGTTTCTGCTTGAAAGAGGGAGGAAGAACACGAAATAATGAATTCATTTTTCTTGTAGCAAAAGCTAGACTATATGGAATTAAATTTCTGAAAGCTGACAAAAATATTTTACTTTCTGATCGACCTATATATATATATATATATCCTTGTGGGTTTGTCATTATTCAGTGTAAGAACCCATTCCTATCTTGAGATTAAGGAGCAGAAATAGACTACTACGTTAATAAAATATGAGAAAAGGCACGAGGAAAAATCTGTAATGTAATAATGCTATTATGGATGCGTTTTGTCGTCGGATTTCTATTTGGTCAGCTAAGCGTGCTTTAAGATACTCGGATCGGTAAAGCCGCCGACTGACCAGGACGTAATAACACACTACAATCATTTGTTCAACTGATGGAATAGTAACATCTCATCTTTTGGGATCATTATTTGGATTACTTTGTAGTTGTCATGGAAACTTGTTTGCCGTCGGCCATATCGGCTTTTTAGGTCACGTGTGCTTCCTTGCCCCTTTTATATCCTTTCTTCTGTTTAGTGAAGTAGACTCATATAGTGCCGAATAGATTGCCCCACTCAACACTACGGCTTTATCTGTTTGCCTATCTGTAAATGTATTGATATGTGTCTATAAGCATAAAAAATCGGGCAGTCCGTTAGAGCATCTATCATCGTTAGATATCCCTTGGCATGATTGTGAAACAGCGAAGGTTTACAGCTCTCTCTTATACAAGTGCCCATATTTACTGACTACAGATATGGTCAAGTGTCCCGACTGGCGACCTAGACTCAGAAACAACATTCTGATACATTTTATTGCCATGTACCAAAATCAAATGTAAACTAGACACCTGTTTTTACACCTTAATTTTTACACAATTTGGCGCTGGTGGCACTTCAGGACAGACGTATCACAAACGACAGGCTCATACGCTGACGTATATTGTACTTTAGAATTGTGCTACGTTTTCTTTATTAAATCAATGAGAGTTAGTAAATGCGCTGAATCAAGTAACGTTTGTGCAAAATCCAGCTTACGGTGACATCGGCATTTAGCATATCAGTGAATGTCTCCTTCGCGTCAGGAGTAATGTGGATTTTAGTGCCATCCTTAATGAGGTCGTTGTCCTTCAGAGTAGGTAGTTCCTTCTCTTTTTCCTTTTCTGATGCCTCGCGGTCTACCGTTGATCCCTGTTATTCATCGTAAAATAGATAATCGTACATTAGAGATAATGTTGTTTACAATATACTAATTTTAGGGTTGCATGGCTAAAATAAACTGAAAGCAGCACATGTGGGCCGAATATTCATAGATGAAACGACGAACGTTATTAGATATCCACAAATAACGTGATATGTAATACAACCATATCCGCTACAAGTTTCCTTAAAAGCTACATATAAGGAACGCGCAATGAGTGTTTGGAACAAGATTAGAGAGATTCATTCTTTTGTATAGACGCCATTCTAAACTATCATCAAACAAAATTGATCAATGAAAATTATGTTATTCAGTAGAAGCAGCTGAATTCCGTTTTAGCTCTTGATCCGTTCCACATATATTGAGCCCTAAGTTAGTCAAACGCAAACAGTTAAACTTGTTTTCCATTCACAGTATTCTCCAAGTAAAAATAAGTTATGCTAGTGCGGTTCTAAAAAAAAACATTTGACTAGATACTAGAAATTGATCGAATATTTAAAAACTATTGCCAGGGGCCTTCGATTTTTGTGATAAGCTGGCACGGGTGTCTAATCAACTATCGAGCACCCTTTAATATGACGCCATTTAGCAAGCAGTGACGTTTGTTTACATACCATGCATGCATCTATGTCAGTGCCTGAATATGGACCGTCTACCGCTAAAACTTACGGTTTTGATTTCAAAACTTGAAATATCCTATATCGAATAAGCACAGTATCAATACGGCTATTCTAAATGTGTCGCTAAAAAAACTTATGGGATTATTCATTGGGGTTATCCTAGATAGCCCTATATAAAACTTACCCATTTTTCCACCGGTACATAAAATAGATTCAGTTTTCAAACTTGCTTACAAAGAATGTAGATAACTTAAGACGAAGTGAATAGCTCTAGCGCGGAAAAAAAACTGATAGAAAGTCAGAAGCATAAATCAAAAAGGTAACACACGGTAGCTTTCATTAAAGATTACAATTTATTGGAGAGATTTATTTATAAGAGATTTGGAATAAGCATTCGTTAAAAATATCTTTTTTATCCCATCGAAATTCAATATGTCAAGATCTCGCGGACTACTTTTTTTCTTTACGTCCTTCACTCACACGTTTTTCTCATACTCGACAAACGACAAACGAGACGCTTTTAGAAGAGACGACGTTTTTATAGTGAATATCCTCAAATTCATTGTTCGCCGTTCAGGGCTCATCTAGCTCACACTAAATTGAGGGTTACCGATATGGAAGAACTATGCTATTAAAACAAAAATAATTAGAACAATTATCAAAGCCCATCTCTGAAAAGAAATCCATTTCATAAGCTTTTTACTGGGTAACATATACTTATAGATGCCGTTAACGTCTTTAACGGTCCCAGCTGTAACTTTACGGAGAACTTAATTTCAGTGTAATTAGAATGAACTTTTGCCGATGCCTTGATTGCTCATATATAAAAAGACACTACCCCAAGTTTGATCTGTTCGTACTTATAATTGACATTTGGTTTTGATTCGTAGACTAGTCGTAGCTTCTTAACAGCTGAAATCAGACCGTGCACACCTCCTTCTCGAGATGTCAACTACAACGGGTGCCTGAGTTTTGAGTGAAATTTTTTCCTAGCCTTTACAAGAGAATCAGCTGTTTATGTTTTAGGTATCACAGGGCTATTCACGATAGTAATAACAATGTTAAAAGAGAGAGACATGTTAACGAGAAGACAGCAAGCGTTTGTTAGTGAAATCTTCAAAGAATCTCACACAGGCGAGCATACAAACGTTGATTACTGTTTAACTAATAGTGTTTGTACCTGGCAAAAGAAAATTGGTTTGAGAAACCGGATTCTACCGTGCTTGTTTTTACAGAAGCCCTGCAACGTAATCATAATGATAATTAAAGGAATTGTTAAACAGACAAAATAAGAACGTACTTAAATTGGCTACGTCTCCTTGTTTTTGCTATAGGATAGCTCATTGCGAGATTTACGTTAGATAAAGGCTTAAGGATAACATCCCTGCTTGATATAGTGACAGAATCATCGGTGCAGTGGTGTGAATTTACTGAGAAAACGAAAGGAAACACGGATTTAAGCAGCAGATCATTTAGTAAATATTCAAAGTTCCCAGTAAGTAAATTTTACCTGCATTTTCTTACGATAAAAATGAGCATGCTGTTCGTCACTGTTTGTACACCGTGCCTCAAAAGGCTCTCTGTCGAAATATCTAATATGACTCAATAGTGACTTTGAAAGAAATTTTTTCCTTGTCCCTTAACAACAGATACAGAGAAAAACGTTGACGGAAAGGTATTAATACAAGTAAAGATCTGAAGGAGTATGCGGAGATTTACTAGCTGTAGGAACACCATTTTAACAATAATTTAATATATACATACATATATATTAGCTGTTAAAAACGTGTCTGGCGGATTTTGAAATTAAATTCCTTTTGGCGTAATTGAGCTAGATGATTGTTTAATGTGCGTTAGAAGTGCTCTTTTTTATACCAGCTCCAGCACTCCGACAGCTTCTACATTCGCGCGACCATATATAATTACTCTATCTACAGCTTCTTGAGGTAAATCTAGAGTGGGATATGCACGCCTACCGATTGCCCTTTGTAGTGCAAGAAAGGCTCGATAATCACATAGCCTTACATTGAAGAATAAGCAAATTCAGGCCATCCCTAAATATTCTCTTCTTTAATCAATGAAGTAATTGAGGCATGAGGCTGGATGTTTTTTACTGTCGTGCCAACCGTCTAGAGGCTCTTGAAAAACTCGACATCAAGCCGCGTTCATTATTTCATTTTCGGCTGGTACCTTACAGTAGGAGATGCTTTTGATATCCAATGCAAGCTCTACGATCACTCTACATTCGATCCTACGCGACAATCTCTTTTCAGGATGACGCTATCACTTGCCTGGTCCATCTTTGGCTACATGCCTCGATTATATATATTTAAGCTTCTACAAATCGCACGTGAGAGACGCCACACATTTTTATGGAATCGATTCACGATAGCCCCATTTTTTACTAATTTTTTGCAGTTTCACTACTTAAGCTACGATTCGGCCCTAACATCTGGTCATCTTCTCACGTCTTCAACACCTTAATCTTTACTATTGAAACGTTCTCATCATTCAACTCTGCGCTTTCGTTTAACGCCTACTTGTCTAATGCCTTCAGCAATTTTTGATGAATTTCCGCAGCGTTGTGGCCTCTGAAGGATAAAAACTAGGTCATTGAGCATCGATTTTTGAAACTAAAGGATGTTCTTCCTTCTAAACCCATTTATCCTAGAGTAAACTCAACCGGGTTTCGCTCATAGGTTTCCAGAAAACTGGAGTATCTACCAGTCAAATTTCTTCTGCTGCAAAAGCTTTTTAATTTACTTTAAAATTTCAGCCAGACTCGCTTATAACAGGTTGTGTATATATATATATATATATACATATAATGTGTATGTCTGTTTTATAGTGGGTAATAACCTATACATATTTTTGCCATATCAATAGGCAGATATTAGACTGACATAGTCGGTATCATTTAAGCGGCTTCTAAGATACTGCCTGCACCCAGCAAAACTGACCTTGAGATCGTATTTGACGTGCACCGGAAGATACGAGGAGAAGATGTTCCTTGTGACGACCAGATACGTTTCCTGGCCTTCGACAGTCAGCCGATACATGCCGATATATTGCGGCAATAGAGTTTTGCCATGTCGCTCCACGACGTACTGCATTGACAAATTCCGATTCGTCCAAAAATAATATAACATAAGGTAGTACAATTGTTAAACGATACGATTCGGCCGGCCTGGTCTCATCGGTCATAAAAAATGTGAGTTAACGATATGAGGTTCTTCTATATATATATATATATATATATATATACAACCGATATTCATAAGTTTAAAACAAAAAAAAAACGTTATTTTATAGCATTTGTTTGTTTTCTACGTTAGTGTGCGAGATAAAGTTGATGTCAAATGCCGCTCTCGTTCTATCTTGAGCAGCTGTGTTGGCATGATTAATCAAAATACAAACCGGATGGTAGTGTTTGAGTAGAACATGCATCTGTTCCACTTCTTCAGTTTGTAATGTTTTTATGATGAACCGCCGGTCGTACGATAGGTAGAACTTCGCCCCACTTTTACCTGGGGAATCGATTGCCACCGCTTGCGCTTTCGTTAATGAGTTCTGAAATGAGACATATAGGCATTTATGTATATCATATATATATTTAAGAAAAGGTTTTTTCTTAAATGAATCACTTTACTCTTTAGTATAACATAAAGTGGGCGAACAATGCGTAAATTAAAATTAGGTGCGATTTTATAATGTTTTTCCCTGCGGTCAAAGTGTCATTTAGCAAAAATTACCTTTGTGGCTTAAATAATAGGATGATTTTGTCCGGCCACCCCCTTTTTCTCATGCGAGATATGAAACTATCGCTTTGCGCAGATGCCATAGCTATTATCATTATGGTTCACATTTTAGTGAAACCTCAAATGACCACTTAGTCTTACACACAAGCCAAATTTCACCAGCTAAACACCCCTTCAGCCGTCACAAGGAAAAAAAATGCACCTATGGAAAAATAACGGAAAAACGTGGGTTTCCTTTCATAACAACTTTTTCACACACAAAGGACTTTAATTTGAAGTTCAACTAACGTGGCCTTAAGAAAGCAAGGCCTAAGGATTTATGCTAACCTTATTGGGTCTGATTAAATTTAGAGCATCTTCTGCACTACCGACTACAAATGTATTCGAACGCCAACTCTAACAAAATTGGCGTTAAAAAAAGGAAGATTATACATCATTTAAATCATTTATTTTAGTTATGGTATGTAGCATCTGCCGCCATCTGCAATTATCTGTTATCTTTATTCAAAAGAACACGATTTTTCATGGTATTTAGATTTAGTATCTATTACAGCTCCTATCACGGCCCAATAAAAAAAGTGTTGAACATCGCTCATCCAGAAAGAACTTAAGAAGTATGTTTGCATTACAGAAATACCTTTAACGGTGTTTATTCCGATTCCTCTTCAACATTATTAAGTAAAGATGCGAAAAATATACGTATGAGACTTCTATGCAATTTCTTCTATAGATCCAAAACGACTTCACGGCATAGATAAGCGATCTACTAAACCTCCACACCATAACGATCATTCTACTTGATCCTAGAGACAACTATATTAACTTACACAGCCAATAAATTACAAAAGTGGCATTGGTACAACTTCGAAGACTTTTTCAATAAAGATTAAGTTTTAGTTAGTTGAACGAAAAGTTCAATTTATATTAAATACTTGTTTCGATCATGACGAAACGTACAAGATGGAAAAATTCAACCGAATTCGATCGAAATCAGCAGTCCTGATTACAAACGTTGTTCCATATTTCTTGTGCTGTGACAAATGCCAGCGCTCTAACATTGCACCCTTCATACTTGCACACATGCCAAATAAAATAGGATGTTGCCGTTCCGGTTGTTTCAAAGGAGTCTTTTTAGGTCTCCTGTCAGTAACCGGCCGCCAAATTACCTTATTCTGTTAGACAGCTGCTGTACATGTTGTTTGCAAATTTGTTGTCCTTATTAGCAAATATTGCCCCTTTTGTTTACCCAACGACAATTACCTCAGTAGAATCTTTGCTTTACAATTGGTTCGTTTCACCTTCAGCTTAACGAGCTTTAGCACAGACATCGTGCTCAGTATCGCTCCGCCTACGCCATATTATTGACTTGTATTTAAAGACGCTGATTTTTCTCATAAACTATCATATAAATTGGGTGATACGTAATTTCTGTGGCTATTATCTAGGTGACTGTTGGTAGTTCTAAAAGATTAAAAAAATAATATTCTTTTTTAACACAGCTTTCGTCTCTTTCGACCAGAGGCTTCGAGGTACAAACCGCCGCGTCAGAATGACTCAGAAATATTTCCAATTTTGAGTGGCATAAGTTTTCGATACCATGACAAGCTATTGAAGAACAAGCCGAGTTTCGGAGGGAAAAACTGGAAAAAGGATTTTTTAACTTCTAGGCCCATTTTAATGAGAAAAAAATACTTCCTAATTAATTAAAAAACAAACCGAACACTGCGTCTGGGATATCAGGGCACCTGATGGTCAGGCAGGTTAAAGCAATAGCACTAATTAGCTGAATCTTACCAGATATTCTCGATCGTGAATGCCAAATCTCTCACGAAGGTTCCTGAATACCAAAGGGCAATATTCCTTCACTTTGAAGTGCGATGGCATGTTTTCCCTAAAAGTCAATACAGTTAAGAAAGTTAGTTTTGAACAGCGAAGAGTCTAACGAAAATGCCTCAAATGAATATAGCAGACGGCATAGCACTTCTGAACAGTAAAATTAACATAAGAATTGCTTTGAGTTTCGCTGTAGGAAACACGCATACATGTACACGCTACATACATAAGAACTAAACAATTAACAGCACGCAGCATCGATTTCTAACAAGTTAAATATGCCTTTGCGCATCACTGTGCTCGTTGCCGTAATGGAGGGAGAATCTGATTTTCTGTGCCCCTCTGGCTTCGCCCTGTGGATAGACGGAACACTCTTCCGCTTCTCAGTCACGCTCTTGTTCCTTCTAATTCTTCGTATTTTCTTCCTATTTCTATTAGAAGCTTGTCGACAGCTCTATGATTCACGATCTTTTTGTCAGGCTATAACAATCCCACGGCTTTCAGTTTCAGTGCCTTTTCAATCCTAAATGACTATAGCATCCTTCTTTTTACCTTGGGCACTTAATTGGAGTGGCCCCATTTTTAATTGTACAAAGCAAGTATTTTAAACCCAACTACGATGATGGACTTCATCAATATAGAACTTATTATCGCGTTCATAGGATAAATTGCATCAAGTTATAACACTTTAGTATATTTTTTAGTAAAGCTTAGTTGATGCCAAACTGAAATATGCTCTACATACTTTGGCCGAGATAGGGTAAAATTTCAAAGCATATTCTTTATAAATTCTAATAATACTACGAATCTATTTAGGTAGGGAAAACCGTACGACAGAAATAGTTTGACGCGACTTTCCACTGGTGACTGACGTATTGCCTTAGGTAAATACAGAAACTAGAGGACGTAGAAATACCCTCTGTAATGGCTAGAGGAAATATGGGCATTGCCAAAGCAAAGTCACCTCTGGCAATATAAGCAATTTACCGGTTTTTCGATACGCACGATCTTTTGATAAAATGCACTTCAAGCCGACCTCGATTACTATGAAAATGTTTATTATTGCTGGGTATGTAGTATTGTAATACTTTAGCAGGATCATTTAACGTATAATAAATCCTATTCGGTAGAAAAGAACTGAATATGTGGTTTAATACGAAGATGGTATTGTTTAAATTATATCCACCGGATTCCTAGAACGGTTTTCGAACTCAGACGAAAAAATATGTTCTCACTTTTTAAAATGTCCTCGATCATTTTAAGCTTTTTTTTCTGTTAATTTTGTCTCAAGTTTTTGGAAGAGGGAGAATAATGCAGAGAGCTATTTCTGCTCAGTACAAAGTTGTAACAACTTTCAACTTCTGCTACATCCACTTCCACTACTAGAAACGCGATACGAATACCAACACACAAGTTGATGCATTATGGCAGGCTTCGTTTCTTAAGTTCCATTTTGACGGGGAGTATTATGTAAGCTTCCCAAAAGGTTTTGGTTATACTATTTGGTGACAGTGCAACCACTCAGGATGCATCAATAATGCGCAATCTCCCAACAGCCGAAAAAACGGTGAAAACAAACCTAGTCCTTGACCCGCTACGATATAGTTTTGCTCTGGTCTTTGAAACGATACTCAAACAATTGTGTTTTCATCCATACGTTATCCCACACGCACGTCTCGTCACTTGTAAGGACATTTTGGAACAAATCCGAGGTTGTTATATAGTATTGTTGTATAGGTTGTTATATATATATATATGTCCAAAATAGTTGTTGATGGGTTCGCGTCTGTTCGCAGTTCAAACCCTTTAACGCAATCCTTAATACGAACCCTCTTGCCTTTAAATTATCTTTCAAAGTGTAGTTTCAAGTAGATCGCAATCCTACAGCACACTTTATTTTATTTTTTCCACGTTTTTGTCAGTCCCTGCTGCAACGTGCCAATCTCAAAAATAGGGTCTGTCTTCAAGACTTCCGTCGCGAAACCGCTGGGGCCATTCATCGATTTGGAACTGGCTCATGACATGGGCCCAAAAAGTCTTTTTGCAGCATTGACATTACTTGCGGGTCCTTAATTTCATTCTCAGCCCAAAATATTGTACTCTGTTCTTGTCTTCTAAAGCAACCAAACATTATCAAAGGTCACTATTCTGAAAATGCTTGCGAAATTCTAAGCACACGTTCGAATGTTTTGAAGTTTGGTCTGTGGATAGTTGACAGGCAGGCCACCGTGGCGCAAGAAGCTCGGTAAAAAATCAGCAAAGCGTTTTGTCTGTACCCTTACCCAGTGCTAGCCGATTGCAGGTTTGTGGAGATCACAAGATAATGGTTGTAACTTATATTATGCTCAAAATATAATAATAAGTTATCCCTTTTAATTGGGATCCTTATCTATGTAGGAGGTTGACATATAAGTAAAATCTGTCTTATCATATAGCTTAAGACGCACCGTTTTACTCGAATTCTAGAAACGTATTAAATTGTTATTATCTACTTGCCGTTACTCTTCAGAGATTTCTCTTATTTTTTAACTAATTTCTTTTTCTTTCCCGTTGAAAATGTTTAGCTTTGATGTTAAAAAAACTTATCCAACTAAGACCTTTTCACCGCGAAATTTACGGTTATTAATTTCATTTGCAAGTGATCGGAAAAAAAGTAGTAATCTATAGGCTCAAGGCTGGAAAACTGGAAAAGAACATCCTACCTAAGGTCTTGCAGAGTGGCTTTCATGACCTTTACCTTTTCAAAACCTTTACACTGTGCAAGGACGAATCACAACGAACTCATTGGTTGGAAAAGTGTTTTGAAATGGTATATATAGAGAATAATAAACAGACAATGAGGAATTACATGGGGGAAGAAGCAGAAAAGAGCGAGCCTCACTTACCTACCGAACTTAATTATACATGTATATATATATATATATATAAAAGGCCGAAATGGGGTACCGAGCAAAGAAGTATTAAGAGCGACGATGCGATTCTCTCATATGAAAAATAAGCAAGTAAGCCCTTTTAGACATTTTAAAAAATATAGCGTCTTTCTTTCAATGAAATATGCAGTACTCACCTTCTGTTATTTAGGTAATCAATATTTAGTCTGTTACTCTAAAAGTCCAGTACAAGAGTCTAAAGTTTCGAATGGCAATTCCTCTATAATGTTGAGATTTGAAAATTCTTCTATTGAAAAATCATTACTTGAAAAAAATAGCCACCCGTGAAAACAGCAGTGTCTACAATAGAAGTTCTCTAACTGCAACTCCTGTTACTTTTGTCACTGTAATTCATGCGATATAAGATCGTTTGTTATCGTGCAAAAGGAGTGGTTTCGCTCCCTTGTTCAATCTTGGCTGCTCGACGCAGAAGTGTTTATTGTCACCCCCTCACTTCGCCTATCTCAGCTGTAATCGATAGAAAGCTATAGTGAAGAATACCTGCATTAAGCTTTAACAGGTGCCACCAATTTTTGTAAATGTATGGTTGTCTTTAGGTGACGTTCCGTCGGTTCAATTACATAGCCCGCTAAAATAACGGTCTGAGGCCATCGTAAACGATACCTCCCTTCAGAGCACAAAATGCCCTGTTTTCATTCAATTAAACCGACGGCTCACAATATGTTAAATTATGATGCTTCTACATGGAAAAGCTACGTGATGAACTGTCACTAGCATCCAGGTTAGAGCTTAATGGTCATAACCCACTCAGGATTTTCCAACTTCCAAGGGTTACCGCAACTCGACTTTTAAGAGTCTGAATACTAACATCCGAGTCATCATTCCAGAGATTGTAAATGCATCACGAAAACAAAGAAAAAAAGTGTCACGAGAAGTTCCAGCGTTGTCAAATATTGCCCTTATGAAACTTGAGATCAACTTTCCTTACGTTTCTTACTGTGAATACATACCTTGCCGTGTGTGCGTTTGCAATACGAGCTGCGCGCAATTAATAAATAATATATGCGATTTCCGTTCCTCAGAGCACTCTACGAATGAGGCCTTCTTATTAGAGGATTTTTATTTACTTTATTATGAGGCCACGTCGTGCGGTCGACCACAGGACAGCGCTTCTGACGCCGCCGCATTGCGCTCGTTTTAATTAAAGATTCGTCGTTAAATTTTTGAGCTCGCAGGGCACGCTGTTGGTGAGATGAAAAAGATTGAAAAAACGCGAAAGAGCCGACCCACTAATCAACTTCAAGTGACGGAGGTCTATACCCCTAAACACTTCACTTCCTCCCCTTTCCAGGGGCTTCCTCATAGAATAGCAATAGGATAGAATAACGGGATTCGGCCCGAACAAAATATAATGGAAGAACTACTTTGGATGGAAGCGGAAAAAGCACGGCGATGCTTTCGTCGCAATGTATTTATGTCGATACGGATACAGTTGCATCGACTTAACCCAAGAAATCGGCTTTTACAGTTATTGGATCTAGATAAAACATGGATTGCCATTTGCCTTGTTGGTCGGCCTCGTATTAGTCGATGCTAGATATATTGCAGATCTTCTTGCAATTTGATAAACAACTGAATAACACAACATATAGAAATATCAGTAACATGTAATAACAACGTATTAGATTGTCGAAAAAAGTATTCACTGATTTCAAGCCAAAAAGGAAGCAAATATTTTTATACTTCAAAGAATATTATCAGATGAAGTGTGGGTCAAGGATTTTCTTCGATTTTTTTGGCTACAGCATAAGCCACTTACTGTGAACCTTCTGTTCCTTCTGGGCAAAAAAATTGTGAAACTAAGGCCATACCCAGGAAAGGGTTCTGAAGAGACCGGAATGGGTTGAGCTGGTTGTTAGCAGTAGAGGTTTCGATCAATCGTTTCGCCAGACGGCAGCAACTTCTAACGTATGATTCCTTTCACCTTTCATTTCACCAAAAGGCCCAGTTTGCACAAATTGTACAGCGTATTGTTTTCTGAGCTTCTTTTTTTGTATCCGGTTTTCTACAGATGGATTAAGACTGTTTGGTGGTAAATACCTAATTTCTTGGCGGTGTTACAGCTACTCACGTGTCGATTTCGCTCAGTTTCCACAATAATCTTGTCAGCTTTTTGCGTCACTGATCGACCACTACACGGAACATTCTTTTTATTTACGGGCCCATTTTCACCGATAACGTCTTGGCCATAGACAGCACAGTTTTTTTTTACAGGCTTAAACAGCGTTCGTGCCTTTACTGTGATGAGATTATTATATTTTCAAAAATGTCACTTATCTTGAGGACGTTTTTTCCTAAGTTTGAATGAAGCCGCTTTAACAACATCCATTATCCCATCTGTCAAGCCGCACGGACGCCGATGCAACGCGATTCATATTATCTAAGATGTGCTTTAAAACACATCTTGCAATAATATCTAGTTTCAATCTGTATGCATAGTAAAGAGTCTGTCTACGAGATCTTTGAATACTAAATGGTTCTGACCTCTTGACAAAATGCATATAAAAAGGCTCCTTAACTTGCAGCGTTGGTCAACAATCGAAGCTTAACATCCTTCACCATTTTATGGGTTATCTGTACCAGCGGCATAGGTATGCGACCCAATACAGCTTCCTTAAAATGTGTAACAAATAGCTATCTAGATAGAAACAGGAATCATTGTGATCCGATACGTCAACGTCCTTCAGGTGTCTCTCCGACAGTTGTCAATTACTAATTAAAAATGATACTTTCTGAACACATTTAGCACAGGTAATTATTATTAAGCTATAAAATTACTATTTATTAAATTGCCAATTTACGTACCTTTTTATCACTAGGTATACGTAAGCTTATTGGACGTACATATTTATATAGGCAACGGAGCATCGTATAAGAGTTCTCAAGTCATTAACGATCAGCCTACCGGGTCAAGATAACGCGTCCAGCCTTTTTGGAAAAGATTTATCAACACATTTATTTCTTATTTAATAATATGACGTTAATTTGACAACCACGTAATCAGTGCCAACCAGCATTTCTTTTCATACTTTCCATGCTAATTTTTAGAATGTATTCGCCCCGCTGTAAAATACGACAAAAGGATTTTTAATTACACAAATAAAATAAAAGGATAAGTAGCGAAAGACTGTCACTCGCAGTAGCACTCTCTAGTGATGATTGCGGCTGGATGAGTACAAAACGGACGCGAAAAAACAACCGTTCAATTTGGACTTGAATCATTAAGCTTTCTTTTTTTTTCGGAAACCTGCCCTGTGCTTTTTTTTTTTTTAAAACGGTTTTATGAAAATTCATATAGTTGAAACCAGAATAGAAAAGTCGCAAAATTCCGCTTTGTTTTTACGTTTAGTGATTTTCTTTTCTCGACACGCATCCTCATTCACTTTGTCACGCGGTGCACAGCGAACTCTGTGTTTTCACCTTCCATTTTGTTCAAACACAAATATCAATCATGCCACTGTTTCATAAACAGATCATCGTGACTTGCATTATTTCTTAGGGTCAACGACAACCTAAGGACAGAGCATTAGGTAGGGTTTCGGCTTTATCGTTAAGGAAAAATGTATCCTTCATTTGTTGTGCATGTTCAGGTATACTGGCTAAAAATTGCACACAAAAAATAATTTTACAGTTTTATCTAAGGTCGGAACGAACTCTACAGAAAGTGGGGCGTTTTCAGCTGACTCACACTGAAGCAGTATACTAGACATGATCCTACGGAATAAATACATCCAAGGCAAAACAGGTATAATACAAATGAATAGATAGTGGTACATGACATTACTAAATATGCATAAAAAATTGTTATAGGACATATTCCTCATTTAATCTCCTGAACAAACTTCCCACTTACTTTTTTCCCATGCAAGCAAGACATCGCTAGTGCTCTAGCTACATTTAGGCCCTACATTAAAATAATGCAGGACGGAAAACATGAAAAAGAGCTTATCTTTCATGTAATACCATTGCTACCTCTATTTTGAATTACAAAAATGTTACTCCCTCGCAGGAATTTTCTTTTTTATTTTTTGTTGTAGAAAGATAGAGCCGGAAGCAGAAACATAACTGGGACGTTTCCGGTGAAAAAGGAGTCGGTAGAACATTATGAGGAAAACCGTGGATCGATAGGTGTTCAATAGGACACATAGGAGCAGGCTTCAAGGATCGGACAAACACTGGTGAAACTAAAAAGGGTAAATATGCGAGTAGAGAGACAAGCAGAGCTGGCTGCATATCGCGTAAAAAGTGGACTAGGATAGACCCAACTAGATATTCTTTCCTGTCCGGTGTATCCCTCCGGATCGGCTGGGCTACATCCTGGTCATTCTATATGTCGCTATTCCCGCCTGTAATTTACAGTTACTACTACTAACAAAACAAGCAGCCGCGTGCTCCTATAGACTGCCACCATCGATCAGTTTCTGGGGCCTGCAGGGATGTCGGGGCACCATGTTATTCACATTAGTTTTAGTCCTGCTCCGAGAGAAAGGGATGCTCGTAATAAAGGATAAATGATCCCTAATAGCAGTGCTGAACCACAAAAGGCCACCGGACAAAATAGGTAAACGAGAGAATCGGAGACTAACCCCCAGCAGACGTAATGGCCAAGAACGCTTTATTCCCCAACGTGTACTCGTATATTTTCTCTGAACTCAATGACCGCAGCTCCCTTAGCGTTATATCCAAGCATGCTTATGAAACTGAAGATGATTATTACAATGTAATCACGTAGACTTCTACAAAAACTTTATGAATTCGCTACCTAATGTAAGCTGTAATTTAAATTTAGAAATTACTCTTCCAGTCTTTCTTAGTGTTATCGCATTAACCACCATACCAAAACAAAAATGGTAATATAAATAACCCTATTTTTCTCATGAAGAAGCCCTAGGAGCTTACCTCGGACAGATTTCGCGGCGGTTTCGCGTAAATAATGATGCGTAAAGAAGAGCAAGAAATAAACGAACACAGACAAGCTGCAGAGTTTTTTCTACCTCTGGCCGCTGCTTTACCGAAGACTTTTCTGCAAAGTTAAAGTAGCTCTAAAAAGAGCATCGATTTAGGGGGCGAAAAAAGTATAAATATCATAGGTAGGAAGGACCTACTATGGATTTGACTCAAACAAATTCTTCTAAAGAAACTATCTATTTCGTTTAAATTATTGGTTTGAATCATTTCACGTTCGTATATTGAATGGAGTACTTGCGAAATAAGCGTAACTAATCCCCAGTAAATCGATTTGCTATTGGAGCTTATGCGGTAAATGTATGGCCGACTCTTCCGACAGCTACACAACACTCAACTGTGCTCCGACAGAAACAGGGAAAATGCACCAACTGAAGATTTCGCTAAACGGCTTTACCAAGCTCCCTGTCCTTGTGCTGTACGACTAACTATACGGTCACCTCCCTTTGCTTTATATAGGAATCAATTTAATATGGAAAAGTCCTGGTTGATTTAGGAACTAGGTTTATATTAGGGTCAGAAGGCTTTAGGTATCTCAGGCCGATGTCCGTTAACTGCGCTAAAGCTTTACATGAGCTTCGAGTAACAGGGGACAAAAGTATTGGTCGGTCATCTTCCACAGTTAATTGCTCAGCAGATTTCCCTAAGAAGGATCTTACGATTTCTCTCTTTCACTCTCTCAACTCTTTCCATTTTTCAAGGGTTTTACTTCTGCTTCAGTTGACATTATGGTGGTGATTTGAATATTACGTCTATTGTATTCTAGGGTGTTTATATTTGTAGAGTTGCTTGTCGTGTTCCAGAGGTTTATAGCCATAAATTTTACATTTTATCATCAATGTGCGGATCTCAACTCACTACGCCGTTGATATGTTAACGTTAGAGCGAATGGTGACCGTCGCGGAGCGACTCTGGCCTTTAAAACCAGTGTTTTCCGCTTTCCTCTAAATGTATAATCGAACGAAATATATCGACAAGTGCCTATAGTGAATATTGGTGCCTAAATTACCACAAGCACGTTTGCTTGATGTTATGTACATTAGAGATAATTTCTTACTATCTCAAAGCCAGAACGAATATTTTGGGCGTGCACAAGCTGAAATTGGTTTAGATTAATATAGTTGAACAGTCTGATACTGAAAACTATCTTATTAGGATCAATCCTCAGTTTTACTCAATGATACACTACTACCCACTGACTAGTCCCTTCAGCAACATATTCGCTCCTAAAAGTGGCATATGAAAATTTTGAGCGTTATAGACCAGTATGCTTATTTCCACGTACCACCTACCCAAACGTTGTTAGCTTTTATCCCATAACCACCAAACGTTCGTAGACGTCACCGTCAAACATCATTACAACCTCGAAGCACGGCAGCGTCTTCCGGCACACAGTAAACGGAGCAAACAATACCGCCCTCATTCCCCTTAACTGTCACAAAGGCTGCTCGTTGAACGGGAAGTCAATCTTGCAATAGGGTCGATAGTTCAGTCGACAGGCAATCAACAAAGCATCTTGCACTGCATTTTCCCTCCTATTTTCGTCAACAGCGTCAGCTGCAAGATAGGACACTCAATGCTTCAGCAACTGCTACTAACAATGATGATCCAGCAAGACAAGCTGACCAAGTCAGCAGCTTGCAAATTGTCTCTCACGGAATAACATAGAGCATCTTAAACATGACTTTATTACGCATTAAATGAGCGTATCACTGTTGTTCCTTTAACTTACCTTATTTTTCAGTTTGGGGCGAAAGGATTAAGGTGAAAGGGTTTGTAAGATGGGCTCAAGGTTAAATGCAAAAGTCAGGGATACTATTTAGGTAATTCTGACACGCTCGTAAAGTTTCTAAAGCTCGTAAAGAATTTCTATTCGTATCCGTCTCTGTCAGTACGCCAAATATCGGAAAAATGAACTAAACAGAAAACATGGCAAAATGTTTAGCTTTGACAAAAAAAAAATATGGCTCCTTAGATATATATTATCAGGAAACATGAAGAAAGCTAATCCCTCTAAAGATGATCATGTTGGATAATTTTCTAAACACGCTGTATAATATCGTTATTTTCACTTATACAAAGTTATAGTCCACAAATACAAACAGTTTTGTTCGTGTTTTCTTGCGCGACCGAACCAACCCAGTTTCATTATGTGGTTCACGAAATCTACGTAAGGGCAATTAAATATGTTGACTAACCTTCTCTTGCCACCAAGTTATGACATTTCTGCTTTCGTAATTTTTCGACAAGTGATAACCGGGTCCCGTTTAATTGCCCTTTATATAGATGCAATACTCACTTGTTAAAATAATGGTGATCGACCTTGATCTTTGTGAAGGCCTTGAAGTCATCAGGCATTAACATTACTGGAATGTTAACGTGAGTAAGCCCATTAATCTGAAATATTCCGAGACAATCGATTAGACCATAGCTTAATAGCGTAGCAGACTTAAACAGAACAGATTTATTTACGCTGATCTATGAATAGTTCTTACTATAGAGCATTTGTTCAATGCACCGCACTACATGCATTGAATCAAAACAGACCCTGCTTACAAATAGCTGGATTGAATATGTAAACCAAGCGTTTTTATGGAGGGACTTGAATTTTAATGCATTTTTCGGGATTTGCCCCTGTAGGGTCACTTCTGTTTGACATAGACAAGGAGTTTTTCCATCACAAATAATATGAAGATTTGAATTTTCGTTTGATTTGCTGACGGATCGTATGTAGGATCAACGAAAAATGGAAAGAGAACTAGCTTGCACTTCTGTGGAACCGTCGAACGAGCCGTCAAATGACACGCGACTGATTGCCTTTGCGTCTCATTGAGAACCGACTGAACCTGAGTGAAGCGAACTGGAGCTCTTTTTCTTAGTCTAAAGCGTTTCTCTAGACGCGTCATCAACACCTTGATCTTCGGAAGACTCCTATACGAAATAGTAACTCATTCCAAATCGTTTGTTTACTGAATCAAACACATTCAGAACTCCGTGGCCCAACACCTTGAAATTTCGTCAAGTATTGCTTTCACCGACTGACCCTGTTCGATAACGCCGCTCGAGTGACAATGTATGATATGCTAGTCGAATCGTCTTATAGTTTAAGATCCACACCGTAGGATAATTCGTTAATACCCCTATTTCTCCGCTGCATTTCTAATCTATAATTTACGACAGTATCCTGTACATTGTATCCGATACATTCAAACGTCTGAAAGATCGTTAAAGCAAAGAAGACGGCCGTCGGTAGCAACGAAACATCGGACCACTACACGGGACAACACCAAAATTGTGTCGGATTCTGTGGTGTTCCCAGCGATCTCTAGCAGCCCCTTGGAGGATCTGCATCCGATCCTTGATCCCTTCGTGTGTTTTCTGCCCAACAGCAACAAGGCCGTTAATAACCGCCGTACAGCTATGCCGCGTCTGCGTTGATTCAGGTACAGGCTGCAGCACCATCACTGGTGTATTTCTCCTATTTGTTTGATTTTTATAAACAGGAAGAGCCCTGAGTCATGCTGCCGAAGAACAAATAACTGAAGCATAGACACCTCAGCTACTCGGTATCCAACTAATGTCTCTACTAGAGACAATAACAACAATAACTACTGCCACGCAGAGCTCGAAACTAGACGCTCTAGTAATTGTACTATTCTATTTTTTCTTGCTTTTGTTGTAATTATTCTCGCTTCAGCTGGAGCAATAAGATACGCTTAATGTCCCGTATAGCTTTTACTTGAACTGTTGTTTGATGAGACTATCCAGCTATCATATCCACTTAGTCAGTCACTAGCAGTGGCAGTAACTGCAGTGATTTAAGTTGAATTATCTTAAAATATGACTATTTTTGTACATGAATTGTAGATTAACCCGTTCGATTGTTCTTTGCAAAGATGTAGCTTATCGATAATCACACGCTGAAGCAGAGGGCAGGCATTCTTTTCTATCACGGTCAACAAGCTTCCCTTCACACTGAGTTATTAGCATCGACTGGTATCGCGTATTCGGGTATTGCTCCTAGAACACAATAGATGAATATAATTTACGATATTGCTTTTTACAATAGCTTTTACAAAACCATTTACAACCGCGCGCAGGTGTTAGGCTTTCCAAAAGTGTGCTATGATAAAACCGCCTTAAATTCAAGTGACCCAATCTCGAATACGACAACGAGAGAAACTCTTCAAGTAGTCAGCGTAGATAACACTAACCTACGTCCAATCTGTATCTAGTAGCACTTGGGTCGATCAATGCAGCCCAGTGACGGCTGTTAGAGTTCGCACATTTAGAAATACAGATGGCTCTAAGCATGTACCTCGTAAGTGGCTACACAATAAATAATAAAAATGCGATTTATCTTTCAAGCACAGTTGCAAACCAAATCAATGACTGAGATCAGTGGAGTCAGCTTACTTGAAACCTTATTTCAGTTCACACGATAGAATATCAATTTCTATTTAACCGTCTATTATGATACGTATACTTAGGATCAGCCATAGGCTTTTACGATCGCGGCGGTAAAGGCTGCTTTTTGCCTGCTACTGCGCCAGTACTGAATTTCAAATTAAAACGCTGAATAAATACTGTGTTGTTTTGACTGATCAGGTCTTCTATGAAAGTGACTATAGATTAGGCGCAGAAAATGTGAACTCCATCACTGGCTCACCACCGGATAGATAATGGCTATTGCCGCCACGATCGCGAAGTCCTATATCTGTTTACACTGCAGGTCCTCACATTACTGTATAGAGCAGCACTTGTTCATACCGTTGCTAGCTGTTACAAGAGTCAGTTGCGCTGAATTTAATTTTAGAAGTACGATCGACCGGCAGGAAACTAGCAGTGGTATTCGAAACGCTTACTCCTCATAAATCTGAGGTCTGAATTTATGACTGCGGATGATTTTCTATACCCGGGTGATACAAACGTGAAAGCAACAGTAATAAGTAGCTATACTGCAACTATCCATGTTCACAATTTCTGTGGGTGTCCTTAACGAATAGAATAATTCTTTGACAGACACTGCTCTTTCGAGATCTAGAAAGGTGCCCTATTTTTTTTTACCTGTAAGGACTCTAATGCAGTTCTGACAAAGTCTACACACTTAGATTTGTGTCTGCTTCCCAACAGTTGTGTCCAAACGAGCGACTAGTGAATACGGTTCAATCAATTGACGTGTCAATGTAAGGGCGGACGTGCGACAAGCAAAATTTAAGTATTCACGATTCTCAAATGCTTCGAATTGTGTCATTTTGCAACGAAAGCAAGTAAGGAAATCAAAATGTTGAAAAAAGCCCGCCTCCCCACACTAAAGACTCGCCGAGTACGTTGGTAAATCACACTAGTAGGTCGTTAATCATTTTTTTATGCGAATGACTTGGGATGGGAAAGTACCCTGATTGATGCTACTCAAAAAAAATGATACCAAGGATTAAGACAAATAACTTGCGGCAAATGTAGAAAACAGCAACTACTGAATGAATGTAATTCAATACAGCTACTGTTATTTATTCACTTACGACTTCTATTTACTATTCGACTTTAGAGCAAAAACCACTGCTCAGTTGAGAGGTACGGCAGGTGCAAGCTGCCTAAAAAAGCAGCCAGATTTTCAGTTAATTTGTACCACGTACTACAAAAGTGGCAAGAGACAACTGATAAAAAAAGCAAACGTATAAATATATAACAACTCATTATTTAACGAAAGCGTTGTCGTTTTGAAACTGTTACTTAGTATGATTTCTACAGACGCAGAAAAATGTCTCTCGATTGCCTCGAACAAATTTATTCTTAAGACAGAATCGCGTTTACTTTAAGAAAGAACTGGTATTGACTAACCCCTCTTATTCTAGACCCGTGACTCTTGAAAATTACAGTTGATAAATGGTTGAATGTTAAACTAGCTGAGCTTTGGTTAAAGTGGTTGGCATATAGTCAAAATTGATTGTCACTTGGAAAAAAAACAGCGAATAATTTTAGTCGGAGCGTAGCTGGTCTTCGACAAGCCGTTGAAGTAGATGCGTCTTTTAGTCAGCATTACGACCCTTATTCCAGTCTCATGCGCCTATAACGAACCGTACATAGAACTAAAATATTAACTAGAACAATGTCTATCACATGAATTCACAATTAAATTTACATTATTAACTAACGTTGGTTCGGCAAGCTGGCTAAACTACCTTATTTGGGCCTATAATCTTTAATATGTTGTGGTTCGCGATGGCTAGCAGATATGCTTACAGAAAGAGGAGGACGTGAGTCTGGAATAAGGGTCGTAATGCTGATTAAAAGCCACATTTACTTTAGCGGTCCATCGAAGATCAGCTACTCTACGGGTACAATTATCATTTACAGACTTAATATGTTAAATATCCAAAAAGACAACATTTTATAAAACCAACCGGACAGTGGGTTCCGGATTGTAAGAAGCTAATAGTCTATACCTCGGAGGTTGAAACTGGTAGTAACGGAGATAGACTGGTATTGGGGTGAGTAGGTGATGTCAAATTGCGCAGTAGCTAACCGGACAGAGCAAAAGACATGAACAGCAATGGGATTCTCACAAAATAATTCCTGATCTAAGAGCCAAAGATGTAGACTATTGGGTTAGGAGATAACGGGAGACCACTGAGGCAGCAAAAGAAGAGCAACTTGGGAATTTCGTCCAGATTACTTCCTTGTTGTATTATCAATCAGCACTATTCATTACTATAATGTACACATACGCCGTAATATGAAAATAGCATAAATGAGGATGTATTCATGCCTATTGCTACTAACCATTCTGTTGTTGCCCATTGTTTGCTTGGGGGCAACACCACTCAGTACAGGTGGAGGAACTGTAAACCTCTTAAAATGATGGTATCACTAGTGCAAATATGTTACGAGGAGTTTACGGCTGATGGATTGCCCGGTGGAAAAGATTGTTTGAAACAATTAGCGAAAGTGGCTGAATATTTATATGCAAAAGCAACGATTTGAAGAACAAATACTGCACGTATATGTAATCGCATGAGATACACAAAAATCCGTTTTAGGATGTTTGTTTTTCCCGTGCTAAACAGGGTGTATCTAATGACGACTACAAGTCCTTTGTTGTCTATAGTCGCTAAATGAGCAACAACTTTATCTCGCTTACGTCTGTATAAAAGTTGAGCCGCAGTCTTCGATTTCCTGTTAAATTCTAGTAACTACTCGAATTTTAGCATTCAGTGTTGTGCATTTTAATATAGATAAATATAAACTGGAACCGCTAAATGTGGCCTTCTAAATTTTAAAGGTAAAAATATATGGTCTCTTTTTAGAAAACACGTGTCGCCTACGGCTAATGAGTGAAACTGCAGGACGTCACTATCACCCTGACAAAATACTGAAAAAAACTCGTATGATTCCTAACAGATGACATAGCGTGCTCTAATGTGTTTGCATGGTAAAATCATTCGAATTATTACTATAGTAAACCACCATTATAATGTAATATTTAACTAGTTAGTCTATAATAGTCGTTAAGAGCCGATAATATAGACGCCTTTGCACTAGACCAATATAGACTTCCGCACGTAATTACGTGCATCCGTATTCATCAATATGATAGAATCTGATCATTCGTCTCATTTATTCGTATGCATAGACAGGTTCTATAAAATGTAGCTCACTCAGATCGCATATTAATCAAAGCTTTCTTTCTTCAATGGCCAGAATTTAAAGGTCATACCCACTGCTGTGGGCAGGTTACGAGCAACGTAATATTATACCGTGCTGAATTTCAGTGCAAACAATGAACCTGGAAGCAGTCACTGTACGGACCTAAGAAACTCTCTGTATCCTGCAATAAAAACCTGACACTCTGCAAGGGCAATGACATTGCTTCAGCAAATGACAGCATTGACTCAGCAAAACAACAGTTTGAACATTTTATCTGATTTGTGAACTTTTTAAAGTATGTGCCAAAAAAAAGGAAAAGCGGCAGACAAGCTTTTCTTGCTTCACGTTTTTCATGCCTAGAAGAAAGCGTCTTGCCGACGAACGTGCAACTTCGGCGGTAATGCAGGTTATTCATCGTGGTCATGTTGATAACAATCTGTAGCCTAGTCTCATAATGAAGTACTCGCTGCAGTAAAAAGAAGTCTCTACCGGAAGGCATTAACAAAACGATTGGGAAAGAAGCCTTAACAAAGTCATCGACAATCAAGGGCAGAAAGCATTTCGTCAGACTGTCGGACTAGCGGACGGGCGGACGTATAACCCGCTCCCACCGAATCAAAATCTAGCCAGATAAAGTCGGCGAATAGTGGGCAACTAGAGATGGAGGCAAATAGAGTAGAGGTCTATTGCGAAAGAAAGAACGGAGGCAAGAGACGTTAACCCCAGAAAAAGCACCTCGAAGATAGCTGAATGCCACGAACACTGGTGTGTCGCGAACAGCACAACAACAAACGCTATCATTCTAGGGACACATTTTGTGTATCGTACATTTCCCGCAAGCCCTCAGAGTAAAACAACGGAAGAAATAGAGCTTCTGTTCAAACTACCTTTCACAAGGCTGAATCTGCGCTTGCTTTATCTTGCACGCCCCAACCCAATTCAAGCTTGTATCGCCTGATGGTTCAGGCCAACCCTGTCAATTCAACCAACTCGCTGCCTGTCAGCTATCGTAGCCTGGGCAAGCTTTTTGCTGAGGGATAGCCATTAACCCATTTGATATGTTTCAGCCTCAATAAGAGAAATTTAGCATCTTTCATGTGAATACTGAAAATAGTAACGGTGAGCAAAATCTACTACCTTATCGAAAGAAAGGAGCATTATATTTAATAAAATACTACATGTATCTCCCTTACATACATCATTCAAAGGATACATATATATATAAGATTTACAATGCTCGAGTGGGCGGCTTGCAACTTTAGAGCCTTCGTTATTCTGTTCCAAAAAGGCCTGGCAACAGCATTTAACACACAAACTTCATTAACGGTTTGTTACTAATAGCCGGCGTCTAAGGCGATAAAAATATGCCAAAAAAGCTAGCTCTGTTATGTTGTGTGTGCCCGATATTCACACGTGTTCAGTGTATCGTTTCTGAGTCATGTACGTGAATTAAAAAAGCTCAACCATGTTTGTCTGATTGACTGATTTTATAGTGACAAAAACTGCCACTGCACTGCAGTTTGTTTTTCACATATGGCTAGTAAACAAAAGAAAACCTGAACTCATCAGCTTACATAACATTCCATAACAGGTTTGCTTTCGCCAATTCTAATTAATATCAACACAGCCTTTCCTCTAATTGTCCGCATTTCGTAGACGTCATCTAAGAAGCGAACTCACTTAATGAAACATCATAATAGCTTGTGTAAAAACTTCGTGCCCGGCAGCGGTATATATATATATATATACATGTAGGCCTGCTTATTTGGAATGGAAAAGCATGTGAACACGGCAAAGCACGTAGCAAAATCGGCCATTCTAATAAAGCATCAATGTGAGAACAGAATCGCTAGCTAAAAATAATTCTGATGATAATGATAAGAGAATATAAGCCCTTGTTAAAGGAATGGATAACCGCCAACACGGAGCTTGGAAAGAAGATTTGACATAATTGAGATCTGCCCTCTTGTCCACGAGTCCCAAAGGCGAATGACAGCAAAGCTACTAATACCTTGGAAAGCTAAATGAATTAAGTTCGTTGTCTCCCAAGTTTGCTTTTTCAAATTACAAATATATATATATATATAGTTGGCAACTTGATGCAATCGAAGAAGTACGTCAAATGGCAGTCAGTGATTTCACGGACGTTGCAAGACACTATTTTTATTCAATGTTATTTGACAATATGACTGTAATCGATTTTATAGAAAAATAGGGAAGTGACTAATGATTTGATAATAAAAGCCGGTTTTCGAATACCAGTCAAATCTCCACAAAACTGTATCTTAATGTAATAGTTTGTCTCCATAAGCACACTTAATCGTATAGCACTTCGTTTCTTTTATACAATAAATTTCTGCATTTGACATTTGTAACCGTTCGACAGGTCACTCTCAAAATAGTTAGCTATATATTGGCTTGGTAATCCGTTCATCATGCAGCGATCCACCCAGCCGCAAAAGCTGTTCTGAATAGGCGTCTCTTATTGCGACAGATAAAAGTTACTAGTCCGATCGATTTTCGTGACCGTCAAGCTAATTAGTCGATGCATAAGCGGCATGCATTGCCTGCTGAGCTTTTCACGGTTGATCTACAAAAGTAGTTGTACAATAGCGATAAGGACAATAACAGCAACAGCATAAAATAGCTATGGATAAATAGTAATAACATAATTTTTGTTTCCTGTTGACGTAGACGGCGGTTCATAAACGTAAACAAGGCAGGCTGGAATGAGATTCAATGAAAAAATGCAACCAGGAAGGTGAATAAAGCAGTTACGTGAATGATGATTAAATGGTAAAGAGAATCAGCACTAATAGCGCAGAAAGACCTGACGACACAAACAGCGAGGAATTAAGTTTCTAACGAGTAAACTAATAACAACAAACGCGTCATTCATGTTTCAATAGACACTAGTTGAATTTTTCTTTACCATTATATATTATTTTTCGGCGGAAAAAATCTTCCGAGCAATCATTGAGCTGTGGCATTTGCTAAGTCACATCTAGTAGTCTGTTAGTCGTCTAGGCCTGTTCTAGTTCACTGAAATCCAAGTAAACATATTCAACTCTTGAGATTACGAAACATAAATCTATAATAGGAGATTCACAATGCTATGCGGTACCACTGTCAATGCGACTGTGTTATTATAGTGCTGCATGTATGATAATAATTAGTAAAACAGTAAATACGTTGACTTCAGAGTCAAGTTTACATTCAAACTCTTGCTTTCACCATAGGACTACCTTCTCGGGAAGAACGAACGATTGTTTGATAGATACATCGTCATATATATGTGACCACATACCTGTTTTCAATTGTTTTGTCTGGAACGACTCTTTCCGAATTTGTCAATCAACGTCTGTCTGTTTCTGGTAATCCGTCTGTGATCGTGTTCGTCGTTATATGTTTCGTGCCGCTTCGATTAAAACTACTACACTCCATAGATGCGATGCTGTCGTGGGCAGATCGTGGTAAGAGTCGCATTGGACCCGACAAGCGCTTCAAACCTCACGCAAAAATATGATATACGAGAAGCGATAAATGTGTATATTGTAATTGTCAATGGCAATTGTTACTGTCTCGCCTATTTGTTGACGTCGCACGGGCAACAACAGCACGCGGCTTTTTTTATCGCCGCTATCGTCAGCCGCATCGGCATCATCATACCAAGTATAGCGAGCACTGTGGTTGCTATCAATAACAATAGCACATCCCAATAGGATAGCCAGCAGGAAATTCCAATTATTTTCAATTTAAAGGTGCTTCTCTGTCTGTTTTCTTCATTAACTAATCTCTGTGTTTTCGTCTATTTCAAAGGGTAGCCTTGCCATTGAGATTCAATGCCAAATCACTTCAAGGAAAGTGTGGTATTTTTAACAAGTAATAATGTTAAGCATTGCCAAATAGAAATAATTAGTAAATAGAATAGAGCGATATGTACATGAAAAATACCCGGTTTGAGTGTTTAGCTAAATATATCATTGAACAAATACAAGAGTACGTTAGCACAGTTGGCAGCTGAATGTGTGACCGTAAAGGCAGCCAACAATATGTTCTGCTAGCCTTTGGTGTTAGCTTCCGGTTTTAAAAGTATAAGAAAAGTTATAGAATGGATAAAAAAAATTAAGACTGAAGTCGGAACCACTCGTTAAATTTGCTTTTAAAACTCCCTTGCTGTTCATTAACGATTCAGTAATACTCCACTGTGAGCAGATAGTCTAATGAACTGAGGACGACGTTATACCCAAGTGTTCGCGTGCTGTTTACCTTTTCGGTCTTGTGATCGCCGAGCATTGAAATGGGCAGACTGGTAGGTAGAACGCAACTTGGCGTAAATCTGCCGTATCATTTGCAGCTTTGGAATGAAGAATGGGGGAGAGAATGGCAAAATTCGAGCGCATTATTTAACGGATTAGCCTGAGCCGGCCCAAGCCTGCCGCAATACCGCGATATGTTAACATAACAATAGAGACTAATAGCTCGTAAAATACTGTTCAATATACAAAATAGCACTTTGAATAAGTTAAGATGCAAAAGACTCATAGTCTCAAGATGACTCGCAGCTGTGGCACCTGTAAATTTATAAACTTGGTTAGTGGGTCTCGATAACAATTCAGGCTAGGAACACCCGATTGTTTGTACAATTCGAGTTCACTTGGCGACGACTAATATGTAAATATCCAAACCATCTGATTTAGGCTTGTTAAATGCTATTTAACCTCATGTTTGGGCGAATATACTCAACATACTCACAGAGACTACATCTGTCCGAAGAGC